TACAGAGTTAAGAAGCACAAGAGAAACTTTCAATAAAAAACATCAGATAACCAGTGGGCTTCCTTGTTCATTGTGGGGTGTGGTGGCAGAACCTATGAAGCACTGTGGGTAACAAATTATGGTCTGTATCGAACTAGCTGCAAAAAACCTGGGAGAGGAAAGATGCATGGAAGGAGCTTTCCAGCTTGTGGTTCTATTCATTTTATTGTGGATGAAGTTTTTTTTTCAAAACCACTGGAAAAAATTTACCAATTTTAGTCCTGAAACAAGACTGAAGTTAAAGGTTTGGCGCTTGTTCTTAAGAGACCAATTTACTGGTCCTATCCTTTGTGTACCACATGGCCTGGTGCTAGTTACTGTAACCCTCATGGTACACAAGTACTTGGAAATGGGAAGTACAGAGTCACACTTTTCACAGCACATAATACTTCTGTAAACTGTTTGGTTTTTAAATGAGAGCCAGGCAATGGTGGCTCACTCATGTAATTACAACAACTCAGAAGGCTGAGATGTGAGGGCATAGGTTTGAGGCCAGCTGTTGCAGAAATGTCTGTGGCTCAAGTGGTAGGGCACTCAGGCCCTGAGTTCAAGCCCTAGGATAGACAATAAAAAATGGGGAAGAAGCTCATACCTGTAATCCTAGCTAACTCAGGAGGTTGAGATTGAGGACTGAAGTTCAAAACCAGCCTGGGCAGGAAAGTCAATGAGACTGATCTCCAATAAACCACTCAAAACTGGCAGGATCCTTGCCTTGAGCTGAAAAGGTGAGGGACAGTGTTCAGGCCCCTAGGACGGACAAAAATGGGGAGGAGAAAAGGCACTATCTGTATAGAGTCTATTAGTGTTTCTCAGCCTAATCTTTGAGCATCAGGGAGCTATTGCCCCTCTTTGATTCAGGCAGGGCCTAGTTTTTGTTTCTTGAGTGCTGGAGTTAACAGCTGTGCCACAAATGCCTAGTAGATTTATTTTGGGGGGGTTCCCATCATGGGGCCTGAACTCTGGGCCTGCTTGCTGTCCTTAAGCTCAAGGCTAGTGCTCTACCACTTGAGCCACAGCACCACTTCCGGCTTTTTTTTCTGTTTATGTGGTGCTGAGGAACCCAGGGCCTCATGCATGCAAGGCAAGTGTTCTACCACTGAGCCATCTTCCCAGTCCCCCCACCCCAGTAGATTTTGAGGGATGAAGTTCAGTCGCTTGAGCCCAACTAGTACATATTTTTGTAGTACATGATAGTTTTGATCTACAATGGGATGAAATTGGACTTTTGAATTTCATTTGGAACATGAGCTGTGACACTGGAAGTAGCTATTAGAGATCCTCAGCAGAACTGAGATAGCCTGACATGCCTGCTGTGAGGTGTTCCCATTTCTCTCAGGCATCAAGTCTTGAGTAAAACCCAACTGGAGGCATCAAGCCAGTGAGTAGTCTAGATAAGCTCTGATTGCTTTGCCACACTTAAGCATATTTGTATGGTTTTTATTGACTTAATGTAAGGGCCAAGCTCACTTAAGTTTCCTATGCTTGTTACAAAATTTGTAGGGCTTCTCTAGAGTCTGGATTTATGAGGTTGGTGCTTTGGGTAAAAACCTTCCACTAAACTGCATACATGTTGCTGGTAAGTGAAGTTTGCATCTGGGTATCTGCTGATTGGGAGAGCAAGAAGTATTGCTCATGGCAGTTGTGCTACTCATGAGCAACCAAAGAGGCAGTGGGGTTCTGACCCTCCCATCCTGGATGCGTTGTCCCTCCTGTTTGTGACACGCCTGTCCCTTGGCCAACTACTGGATTTTGAGTTCGGGGTACTGGTTGTCTTACTAGGTTTTTTTTTTTGGGTCCAGTTGTGGGGCCTGAACTCTGGGCCTGGGCGCTGTCCCTCAGCTCAGGGCTAGCGCTCTACCACTGAGCCACCTTCCCAGCCCCTCTTACTAGGTTTATTAAGTGAACTTAATATCAGTTTTGAGAAAACTGATAACCCAGTATCAAATATTTCAAAAGATGGTTAATAATATCAGGGCATGGTTGTCCTTTATTACAAATTCAGGTTTTATTTAAAATTAAGCTAAAATAAACGAGAGTCACTAAGAAAACAGGCAGTCTGTTAAGTTCGCAACCCCAGATTACAAAAGTATGGCAGTGTATGTGTCACACAGCCTGGTGCACCTGCTCTCAAACGGGATTCAGCATCCCTGGGTTTGCCCTTTTTTCCTTCTCAGCAACCCATTTAGCCTACTTAGGCATTTGTCCAATCAGGCTTTGCCCAAGGAGTCCTGGGCTCCTTATCAAGAATTCCTCACTCAGCTCTAAGGGGGGAATTGGAACCAGAAGCTGGATCTGCACCATTCACCTTGCTCCGCCTAGGGTCAGGCCTGGCATTGGGGTTGCTGCACATAGCCCGCCTCCAGGGGCACGTTGAATTGTACCCGGGCTAAGCAGTCCTTTTCTCTCCTTCCCTCGGGCCTGGCCCACCTGCCCAGCTGAGGACAACTACCTTTCCCACAGGCCAACTTCTGAAGACCAGCAACTGCAGCTCTGGCGGGGGGTGGGTACCTCCACATGGCACGTCTGGCCATGTGCGTGCATCCAGCCTCTCCATAGGACTACACTTCCCAGAAGTCTTTCCTGGCCAAAGCCCTTTTTGGCCGGTGGGTTTGACTACAGTGCCTTCTAGAGGCCTTCTGTGAGTCCTTATCAGAGGACTCACTTTTCCATAATGATTTGCACACTTTCTGGAGTGCCAGACTCAAGCTGGGGTGGCCCTAGAACAAGAAGCAACCAGGCCACCAAGCATTGTGGGAACTGTATGTGGCGCATGAACAGAGTGCTCAGAGGGTTCAATGTGCCAGCACTCAGGGTGGCTGGCCTGGCCCTCAGGCTGAGGCAGGACTGGGCTGCATAAGCCTCAGGAAAGAATGGATTACTTGAAAAGTAGAAACAAGTGTGAGGGTCCCAGGGCCTCTTCTGCGATTCCTGTCCCTTCCCTTCACTGCTGGTGCCTTTTTTCTTTTTGCCAGCGTAATTGTCATGTGGATCACATTTCCTTGAGATAAACCCTTCACTCTGGATTCCTGCAGTTTTGTGCTTAGTTTTGAAGGTCTCCTTTGAAATGAGTCTTCATGGCCTAAAGTCAAAATACTGATATTGCTGTACTCCTTCAGGCCCCAGAGGAGAATCTACTTTGCTTTTTCCCCCCCAACTTCTTAAGCATAGCATACATTAGTAATGTGAAGGGTTTCACTGTGATAATTCCATACATACTCTCTTTGGAACAAATTCATACCATTATATTTCTATCCTTCCCCTCTCTGATTGTGGGTTTAATTATGCTGAGGGAAGGAGGAGGAGGAGGGAGAAAGGAAGATACGCCAGGAAGTACTGTCTACAATTTCTAGAAAGAAAACATGAAGGGTTGTGGAGTATGAGTAAAGAAACAAAATAGATTCTCAGAAGAAAATACAGAGATTCAAAATTTCACTACTGATGAAAAGACCAACAATTACATTCATCCTTTTTGGGAGATTCTAAAAGAAAATGATTCACCTATAGAATTAACTAGGAATGTATTTTTCATTAGCCACAATGGCCATTTAAGAGGACACAAGGGCTGGGTCTGGAGTGATAGCATGCACAAGGCCCTGGGTTCCATCCTCAGCACTGCAGGAATGAAGAAAAACTGACACCTTTTGAGAAATTAAAGCCTTAAAAAAAAAAGGTATTCAAGGATATAGAACCCTTTCTTGATATTTGAAATCAGGGAATGGTAGCCCTATGAAGGTGTATTCTAGAAAATTAAAATGGAACCCAAGAAATGGTGGAAACAATCCAGAAGTTCACTGAACTGAAAACCTATGATAATGGCTGCGCAGCAAAGAACAGACTGGATCCCCCTAACAGCTAGCATAGTAGAAAGGAGCAGATAAAGATGTTTCTTATGGGGGAAAAAAAGCATTGAAAAACAGCAGGGAATAATTGAATATTATCATGCTTAAGGCAACTCCAAATCTGGTATTCATTTGAATACCTAATATAGGTGTCAGGAGAGATCTTTTATTTGAGAAGGGAAGCTGTGACTATTTTATTCCTTACCTGAATAAATTAGCTAATCATTGTAAAGTGCTTAGAGCAGTGCCTTACAGATGGTTAACTGCTATAAAAACAATTCATGATTGTGTTACCAAAAACGTGTATTAATAATTTTTTGTTGCTATTGGTCATGAGGCTTGAACTCTGGGCCTGGGTGCTATCCCTGAGCTCTTCAGCTCAAGGCAAGCACTCTACCACTTGAGCCAGAGCGCCACTTCTGGTTTTCTGGTGTTTAATTGGAGATAAGAGTTTCATGGATTTTCCTGCCTGGGCTGGCTTTGAACCAAGATCCTCAGATCTCAGCCTCCTGAGTAGCTATGATTACAGGCGTAAGCCACCAGTGTTTGACACACAAACTTTTTATTTTTTTTTGTTTATTATTATTATTTTGTTGTTTTTTGGCTGGTTGTGGGGCCTGAACTCTGGGCCTGGGCACTGTCCTTCAGCTCGTCAACTCAAGGCGAGCACTCTACCACTTGAGCCACAGCGCCACTTCCGGCTTTTTCACTTATGTGGTGCTGAGGAATTGAACCCAGGGCCTCATGCATACAAGGCAAGCACTTTACCACTGAGCCACCTTCCCAGCCCCACACAAACTTTTTAAAAGACTTCTAACTCCATTAAAGTCAAATAAGAGGCCTTTTATCTTTAATTTTTGAAAGTCAACAGGCGTTAATGGATAATAGCCTAGGAAAGTGAGCCCGAGAGGAGGCAGAAATGACTTGCCAATGCCAAGAAGAAGCATGGCTGACTTAGAGGTGTGAACTCCCAGGACACTCTAGGCAGGGTGCAGGAGGGCATATAGAGCCATGGGAACTCTTTCCTAAACTAGGCTCACACAAAGAGGTCATGACCTGATTTCTAAGTCAAATCTTTATTTAGCAAATAAATTTCCTTCCTCATAAGCATGTGAGAAGACCATCTCCAGCCAGGAAGCAGGAGACAGAGACCCTGCTTCCTCCTTGGCGCTTTAGTGTCACGAAGGAAACGTGCACAGGACTGCAGAGCTCTTCACAGATGTTCTGATTGCACAGGGCAGCAGCAGAGACTGGACCCCAGGTCAGGTGAGTCACAGCCTGAATGGCTGGGCTGTGACAGCTGGACAGGAAGTGGGCTCAAGGAATTATGGCCCTGGGTTCCAGCCCAGGCTCAAGCTGAGGTCCAATTCATAGTCACAGTCCAAAGCCTTCCAGCAGGGGCAGGCATCTCACACAGAAAGGGACTGTCATCGACCCTCAAAATGGGCTGTGATTTGTTCCAGAGTCTTTCCTTTGGTTTCAGGGACACAGAACAAAGTGAAAAGGACACTGAAGATACAAAAAGCAGAGGCGAGCCAGAAGGCTCCATAAGGCCGGAGGACCTCCTGGGGAGAGAGGAAAGGCTGCCTGTGGGTATGGCAAGGCCAGGAGGCTCCACAGAACCTGGGTAGCACCAGACTCTAGCCCACCCTGCTGGGACCAGCCAGACCAATCCTATCTCCACCATCTCAGTGGAGGGTAGTCCAGTATCCAGTCCACCTGCCTGGGCTGAGGAGTGCCTAGTGGTGATGTGTGCCTGGGGAAACTGAGGGTCATGTCAATGATGCATTGTCAGTGAGAGCTTAGCTCCTGCTGGGAATCCCAGGTCTACAGACACGGCCCCCCTCCAGGTTCCCAACCCAGCAGATTCTCTTTATGCTCACAGAGGGCTGTAGGTACAGACAGCTGCCATGACAGGACATTGGCTCAGGGAGGGTGGGAAGACCCTTCAGTCAATCTGACCTTGCAGACTGCCAGAGCAATCTTCTCAGCTCCTAGTCCTCTGGTCCCTGGTGACCCCACCTCTCCCTTCTCTTGGCTTCTTGGAGAGGGCATGTCTAGGTCACTATTTTGTCAACTCCTTTTGGGCTTCTTTCCCTCTCTCCCTCCCTGTTGTTCATCTCTTATATTTCCCACTCCAGGCAGGCCCTGCCCTGACCTCTCGGATGCACTCCAGGGGAGCCCTGCCTGAGCAGGTTCCAGGCTAGGGGCGTCGTTGCTGCTTACTGACCTTCCTCCTTATGCCTCAGCCTGTCTTCCCACCATTGCCCACCAACTTCCTGGCCCTTGCCAGAAACCAAGACTCTCCAACTCAGTCTCTGGCACCTCTAACGGGCCTAGAGATGGTACATACCGAGAGTCCTGGAGGGATGAATGACTAAACAAATGGCTTGCTTTATTTGTTCCAGAAGCTCTCTGGTGGCTGGGATGCCATGGGGCAGGACCACATCTGTGTCAGTTCACCATGAGAGGGCAGCAAAACACTGAATGCTCCCATCAACTGGAAGAGGAAGGTATTGCTACCCTCCTCTGTTTTCAGCCAACTATTCTGATTCAGAGAAGGTAAGCATTATCCCTAAGGTCACACAGCAAGAAAGTGACCAGGGTATGGTCAGGCTTGTTGACTCTCCCTACACAGACTGTGTGCTCCTGGCCTTGGCTCCTGATGTTCTTAGCTGGGGAGGCCAGACACACTGACTTCCTATGAAGATGGCCTGAGAAGGCTCTAGAGGTCACAGCCTGGGTTCCCTGCCTGCCTGAGCACATTGGTCTTCACCTCACCCATGACCAAGGACAGGTCTCAGGTATAGTAGGGCCTCCTTACATGGATCCAGTACAATACAGCAAAAGTGCTTCTCTGCTGGCTGCGTGAGGAGGGGGGAGATGCACGGACCTGCACTCACCATGAGGCTGCTGAACTCTTTGGTCACTAAGAAGGCCATGAGCCAGTTGGTGAGAACGCAGACGCCGGTAGCCACACCCTTGACTTGCAGAGGAAAGATCTCGGACATAAGAAGCCAGGGGATGGGCCCCCAGCCCACCGCAAAGCCTGCGTGAGCAAGATAGTGTCAAAGTCCACAGGGGGGGGCTCCCCTGCAAGAAGACCCAGCTTCCAGCCTGGGGGTCTGAGGGGCTGGCTGCCAGCTCTGAGCTAACTCCCGAGGTGCCTTGGGTCAGCCCCTACCCTCCTAAGTCATCTGGACTGGTCTCTGAAAGGTGAAACAAAGATGGGGCCTGTTTATAGGTTGTCAGAGAAAAGGGTGGGAAGGGCTCAGCTCTCTACCTAGCACATGGCCAGGGCCATACAGAGGTTAGGCTCCAGGGGCCACAGGGCCAGCCTCCCCGGCCCTCCTCTCACCAGCAATGAAGAGGCACATGCTGCCCACAGCCAACCAGGCCAGCCCCACGCTGGCATCGACGGGCTGCGCAGACACAGGGGCCAGGAGGTCCACATGGGAGGAGTTGCCGGGTCTATTCTGGGTCAGCTTGAAGTAGGTGCCGAAGGCGCTTGCGCTGAACACCATGATCACACCTGCAGGCAAGGGTGGAATAGGCCAGGGGGCTGTGCGGCTGCTGACGGGCAGCTGAACTCATTAGGTGAGGCCAGCTGAGCATTCTGGCACCTGACTCTTGAGAGCTCTGACTGGACAGCACCTGACCACCCTGCCTTGGGACTCAAGACCTCAGTAAGTTCTGAGAAGTTCCCAAGTAACCCTCCCCACCTGCTAGAGCAGGCGCAGTCACAGAAGCCGCAGCTTCTCACCTAGGGTCAGCTTGCACCTAGTGGGCACCAAAACCAAGAGTCTAGAACGTCCTCTGGCAGACCAATCCAGATCTACCCAGCAGCTCTGGGGGAGGTGCTGCTCTGTCCCCATTCACAGAGGGAAAAATGGAGGTTCAGAGAGGGCAATCTACTTGCCCAAAAGAACCTCAAGCTTCTAGGTCATTCCTCCTCAGTTTCCCTCTGTGCACTGGTGCCAGCCATGAAGGCTGGCTAAAGAACCTGAGCTTGGTGAAGAGCTCACTGGCAGTCACAGCCTCATTAGCTCTCTAGCTTTGTCCTCATCGGTGCTCAGCTGTCCTGTTGCAGCCGGTGGCCTTGGCAAAGACCTGGTCTGGAGCAGCCCATAAGCACAGGGCTGACCCCTCACCCCAGGCCTTACCTGACAAGGTCAGAAGCAGCCTGCGTCCTGCTCTGTCCATGATGAGGGCCGCCACAGCTGTGAACAGCACCTGGATGACACCCACGATGATGGAGGCCAGGCTGCTGTCCTGGGGGGTGGGGGGTACATGGGGAGGGCGGGTGAGCAGAGCCAGCTTTCTCTCCAGTCCTGTACTTGGGGATGAAGCAGCCTCTTGCATATGGTGTCTGAGTGAGGCAGACTGGGCAAAGGCCTCTTACCTTGAACTTGGCCTCCTCAAAGATCGTCTCTGCATAGAACATGACAGCATTGACCCCTGACAGCTGCTGGAAGGCCATGAGTGAAACACCGATGAGGAAGGGCTTGTAGATGCCAGGGTGCCTCAGCAGGGCCAGCTGGAAGCCCTGCTGGATGGAGATGGGCCTGCAGTGTTTCTACTCTGTCCTGAGGGTCCACTTTGAGCCCCCTGAAGAGGAGTGGGTCCCTGCCCTCCCATATCCGCGTAGCCTCCCAATTTGTGTAGTAAATTGGGCTATAACTCCCGAGGCTTTTTCTGACTGGTTGGGCAGCCACAAATTCAAGAAAGACTATTCTGTTCCCTGAGTCCCAACCAGCTTCAATACACTCAGTGTTCTTCTTGGGCCTGGCAGTGGCTGAGCACCTTTCCCAGGCCTCTGCCCTCAGTCCTCAGCACCGCCATGAGATGCCTCCCATTTTACAGATGGGAAGGCTACACAACTGGGACACAGCAATCTATCTCTTCAGTCCCAGGATCTTACCTGTCTCCCTGCCCTATAATTCCATTCAGCTCTGCATCTGTATTTTCCCTGCAAATCAAGGCTCAGGCTTTCCCAGTGAGTTGAGGCCAGTGCCTTGCTAAGGCTCCTATGGCCCCTGCCTGAGGGCAGGACAGCACAGGTCCTCCCAGGACCAGGGGAAGGTGCCATCTGCCAGGTATGTCACCTTGGAAGCTGCCCCTGTCATCCACCCCCAGCCTCTCACCTGGTGCTCAGCCCCCACTGGGGGCTCTTCCCAGCCCTGCTCGGAGCCCCACAGGAACTGCAGGGCAGCCATGGCCTCCTGGCGCTTGTGCTGAGTGAGGAGGAAGCGTGGGGTCTCAGGCATGCAGCACATGAGCAGCAGCATAAGGAAGGGGGGCACACAGCCCAGCACAGCCAGCCAGCGCCACTCCAGAACCCAGCCTGGAGAGGCAGATGTTAGATTCAGGATGAGCCAGCTTAATCCTCTTGCCATTTCCAGGGACTCAATACCTCTGCCCCAGCTATTTTCACACTGGTTAATGATACTGACAACATTGTTCTAAAAGACATCATGGGGCAGCTACTGCAGTGTGGACCTTAGCACACACATCACTATGTTTCTTCTACTCAGTGAATTACAGTTCTGGCTTCTGGCAATGACAGGCTGCCTACAGGATATGTCCTCATAACGTAACAGAAATGAAAAATTCTCATCACCTGATGTGCTGTCACCATGGTAACATCACTACCCAATTTGTGATGATGCTGGTGTAAACACACTACTGCACTGCCAGAACAGAAGCATAGCAGGTGCAAATTATGCTACATGCTACAGAATGCTTGCTAAGATGTGAGTTCTTGGTTGATGTATTTGTTATACCATTACTTTAAAAAATCATTTTGGAGTGTGTTCCTACCTACAAGAAAAAGGTTCTTTATATAAAAAGAGTTTGCTACACATCTTGTGTTACCATGACCCTCTTTTTTTTTTTTTTTTGAGGTACTAGGGTTTGAACTCAGAATCTCACATTTGCTAGGCAGGTGCTCTACCACTTGAATCATACCTCTCTAGCCCTTTTTTACTTGAATTCTTTTTCAGGTGGGATCTCATGTTTTTTTCCTCAGGCTGGCCTGGTCCAAGATCCTTCTATCACTTCCCATTTGGCTGGGAATACAAATGTTTAGTGCTATGCCTGGCTTGTTGATTGAAATGCTGTCACTGGAACTTTTCCTTAGTTAGCCTCCTGGGTAGCTGTGATTACAGACTTAGGTCACCATGTCTCTTGCATAGCCAGTACTGGGATTGAATCCAGGGCCTTTACCATTTGAGCCAAGATCCTAGCCCTTTTGTTTTTGATACAAGATCTTACTAATTTGCCTTGAATGGTATAGAATTCAAGATCCTCCTGGTGCTAGTTCCCAAGTAGCTAGGACTAAGGCGTGTCCCACCATGCCCAGAGTTATCACATCTCTTGATTGTATCAAGAGGTCGTAGCTGGTGTTTGACCCAGGAATTTTAGTCTTTGAAAGTACACTCTGGTATATTCACAAAGTGACAAAACTGCCTAATGTGTTCTCAGAATGTGTTCCTGTGTTAAGTGACAGAAGATTGTAAGTAGCCACAAAACAAGGAATGAAGTACTGGCTTGTGGGTGGCCATGGAATAACATGGCCCCATTGCATATAGGATGCAGTCCTCACACATGTGCAGACTCTCCTGAGTCCACCAAGAAGCAGGCCAGGCTAGCTGCTCAGGGGAGGAACTGAGACAGAGCGGGGAGACTTTCCACTGGACATGCCCTCTCCTCTGATACTTCTTGAAGATTGATCGATATACAAGTGAAATTAATTGTAAATGGCATTTGGAAGATATAGGGAGAACAGCAGTGCAGAGTTATTGAGACTAATACAAAGCCAAAGGACCTAGAAATTACTGAGGTTAGGGCTCTCTACCTCTCAGATCAAGTCTTACTTATCCCCCATTCCCTATGGAATGGTTTGATGACAGCCATGTAGTCTTCTGTTTGGGGATGGTGGTAGCATAGGAATACATATTCTGTTTGCTATAGCAAAGCCTGGCTCTGGAGGTATTATTGCCCTGATGTGAAGCAAAGGTGTCACCATGATGCTTTGGGGGTCTCAGTTAACGTACACTAGTGGAACAGAACTCACAGAAGCTGATCACCGAGAGAGCCAGAAGTAGCCACTGGGGGTGAGTGATGCCTGAGTCTTTAGCCTTAAATCAGAGGTGGCTCCGACTAACTGCAAAGCTCCTGCCAGCAAGATTTCTGGATTGAAGGCTGGGTGTGTTTGCCTAGCACGCATAGGTCCTGGGGTCAGTCCCCAGCATTGTGGAGAAGAAAGTTGTTGCTGATGTAGGTATAGTGGGGCATGTATAGGCCTATAAATTCAGTAACTTGGGGGCTGGGAGGATGGCTCAGTGGTAGAACGCTTGTCTTGCATGCCTGAGGCCCTGGGTTCGATTCCTCAGCACCACATAAGCAAAAAGAAAAAAGCCGGAAGTGACGCTATGGCTCAAGTGGTAGAGCACTAGCCTTGAGCTGAAGAGCTGAGGGACAGCGCCCAGGCCCAGAGATCGGCCCCACCACCGGACCCAAAAAAAAAAAAAATTCAGTAACTTGGGAGGTGGGGGAGATAGGAAGATTGAGAGTCCAAGCCTAACCTGGGCTATATAGCCTATTCATTAAAACAAAAACAGGCCAAGAGGCCCGGTGCCAGTGGCTTACACCTGTAATCCTAGCAACTCAGGCTGAGACCTGAGGATCACAGTTCAAAGCCAGCCCGGACAGGAAAGTCCATCGTGAGACTCTTTTCTCTAATAAACCATCAGAAAACCAGAAGTAGTGCTGTGGCTCAAGTGGTAGAGAGCTCACCTTGAGCTGAAGAGATGAGGGTCAGCGCCCAGACCCAGAGTTCAAGCCCTATGACTGACAAGACAAAACAAAACAAAAACTGGCCAAGTGCTAGTGGTTCACACCTGTAACTCTAAGCTACTCAGGAGGCTGAGATCTGAGGATTGTGATTTGAAGCTAGCCTGTGAAGGAAAGCCTATGAAATTCTTATCTCTAATTACCATAAAAGCTGGAAATGGAGCTGTGGCTCAAGTGGTAGAGTACTAGCCTTGAGTAAAAGAGCTCAGGGAGAGCGTCCGGACCCTGAATTCAAGCCCCAGGACTGGCAAAACAACCATAACAACAACAACAACAACAAACAAAGGTTCTGATATGATCAGGTTGGTAAATGAAAGACTGTGGACCTGGGTGTCATCTAGTGAGAAGGTAGAGGCCATGCACCCCAGGCGAGACGATTGGCCAGGGACCTGTCTGTCATTCTCAAGTCATCCCTTACCAGTTCTCATTTGGGATCTGCTGTCAGACACTTTGCCTGTGTCATCTAGTCCACCCTGCTAAGAGCTCGAGGGCAGAGGGACTTGGCCAAGGTCACACAGCAGCTAGCACAACTGTCAGCTTGCTCTCTCCTCTCATTCCTAAGAGAACACCACCTCCCTTGAAGCTTCTCCAGGCTGCCCCGCCTGCTCCGCAGGGTCCCAGGAACCAGTCCACTTCATGTGGCACTTTGCAGCACTGCATCCAGTGCTTTCACGCTGAGTGAGGGACTGGCTCAGTGCTTCAAGCTCCTGGTAGAACATGCTTGCAGTGCTCCCTCCCCACCACAATCCTTTAGGATGACCAGCTGGTCCTCCCCACACTTCTGGTACAGGCTACTTCTGAGAAGCAGGGCCATGACCTTTGCCAGCTCTCTCCTCACATCCTCAGGTCTGGAGCCTGGTACCATGGCCATCAGTTTCCACATCTACAAAATGGCCAGAGAAACATCAGCAGGGATCAAAAGAGATGATGCAAACTCTACCTGCCAGGTAGGCCAAGAGGATGCCGATGACGACCATCAGCTGCACACAGGAGCCAAGCAGCCCTCGCACTGCCGGGTAGGCAATCTCTGAGATATATACCTGCCGCCAAGTACCACAAAATGTTAGTTGAGGTCCAAGAGATCTTTTTGGGTGATACTGGGGTTGAACTCAGGGCACAGAGTATGGTAGGCAGATGCTCTACCACCTTAGCGATGCCCCCAACACTTTTAGTTCAGTTATTTTTACAATAGGCTCCTCTGGGTTCTGGCTGGCTTGAGTACAACCCTGCGACTTAGTTTCCCTTATAGCTGGGATGACAGGCACATACTACCATGCCTAGGCAGGAACCAAGACCTTATCTCAAATATAGCCAGTACACAAAAGGGCTGGTGGTGTGGCTCAGTGATGTAGCACCTGCCTGGCAAGCCTAAGGAGACCTGAGTTCAAATCCAAGTACAGCCAAAGAAATAAACGCTCTTGATAAGGTGCAGATTACCAGTCAGTACATCTGGAGTGTGGTGGGGCACAAGCTTCTGCCTTGCTGACCAGCCCCAAGTGCCACCAGGTTGCTAAGGAAGCCCCTGCCTTGAAACACAGGAACTCCTTATCTCAGCCACTACCAGGGGCCATCAGGGTGTCACTCACACCTTATGTCTAGGACCAAGACTGGTGTTTCTGCTCAGTACAAAAACAAAACAAAAAACAACCCTGAAAACAAAATTTACAGCCTCCTTACAGCTCTGCCTCCTAGTGGATACAGGAGAAATGAATGAGGGCTTTGAGGGCGACCCAGGGAGCACCCTGAGAAGATGCTTTAACCTCCAGCAAGGGGAGGACTGGGTGGAAGGTCCTCCTAGCCTGGGGCCAGCAGTGGCTCTCTAGTTATCCAGTAATTTCAGCCACTTGGGGCCACAGACCATGCCAGGGCCATGGGTTTTGGGTGCAGAGTCTCATGAAACCCTAACAACTACCTCATGAGTAATATACTCCCCCTGGTAAGAGACCCTAACATGGGGGCTTGCAGAAGAGTATTACTGGGTCATGGGCAGCCTTTGCCAGAGAGACAAACAGGATTTTCCTTATAAGGAGGATTAAACCCACAAAGTGAGGCTGTGCTGACCATCCACGGGTGCCATGCCAGGCCATCATGCAGGTAGAGTAAAACAAGCACACCTCAGTGGGACAGTACTGGGTTGGAGTAATGTCCTGATGGCTGACAGCTGCGGCTGTGTGCGTGCTGGTACTGGGGCTTGAACTTAGCTCTTTTGCTCAAGGCTGGCACTGTACCACACTGTGCCACAGCTCCACTTCCAGCTTTTTGGTAATTAATTGGAAATGAGTCTCATAAACTTTCTTGCCCAGGCTATCTTCAAACCTTGATCCTCAGAGCTCAACTCCCTGAGTAGCTAAGATTATAGGTGTGAGCCACCAGTGCCCAGCAACAATGCTGTTCCCTATTTCCCCACGCCCCCCCACCCCCCAGGCTCTTTTTGCTTAAGGCTAGTGCTCTACCACTTGAGCCCCAGCGTAATTTCCAGTTTTCTGGTGGTTCATTGGAGATGAATCTCACCGACTTTCCTGCCTGGGCTGGCTTTGAACCATGATCCTCAGATCTCAGCCTTTGAGTAGCTAGGATTACAAGCTTGAGCCACCAGTGCGTGGCAACAATGCTTTTTGATTGTACGCCTTACTCGGTTGAATTGCTATAATGAACACCACTACGACTCAGAGTAGCTAGGATTGCAGACATGGCAGTAATTCACTTTTCTGAAGCCTACTTTTAATCTGGAAAGCGGCGGTAATAACAGGTGCCTTCCAGAGGCGTGGTGGGGCTTGGGGAGATAATGCCCCAATCTACCCAGGCGGCCGGAGCTGGAGGGACACTCACCGGGGCCACCAGCGAGGCGACACCACAGGCCAGGCCGGTGAGCAGGCGACCCCCGAGCAGCATCAACACATTCTGGGCGCCGGTGATGACGGCAAAACCGAGGACGAAGGGCACGGTGCAGAGCAGGAGGCTCAGCTTGCGTCCGGCGCGGTCCAGGAGCCAGCCGCCCAGCACGCCCCCCGCCGCGGCGCCCAGGGTCACGACGGCCTGGGAGCGGGGCGGGCGCGGGTGAGGAGCGGGCCTCCGCCCGGGGGCCTCGGAAGGAAGGGGTGGGGTCCCACGTTATGGAGGGTGGGAGAAGGGTGGCGGCGCCCGTCGGGGGGTGAGGGCGGGCGGGGGCGGGGGATCTCACCCCGAACCAGGAGGCCGCCTCATCGTCGAGGCGCGGGGCCGGGGTCACGGCGCGCCGCAGGCTCGGGATGGCCGGGGAGCTGTAGCCGAGCGCGAAGCCGAAGCTGAGCGGGCCGAGGGCAGCGGCGAAGGCGGCGAGGAAGCCCCGGCGGCTGCGGGGGACGCTGCTGCGAGGACAGGGCCGAGGGTGAGCGGAGCCGCTGGGCCTCGAGGGCGGGCCCGGCAAGGCTGCGTCCCGGGCCGTGACTCCCCCGCCACTCACCTGTGGTCCGGAGGCCTCAGGAGCGGCTGGGTCTCCTCCGGGTCGTCAGGCGTCATGTCGGCGCCCCACGCTCGCCCCGCCGACTCGGACGCCAGAACCGCCACAGCTCGGGCGAGGGCTGCCTCTCCAGCTCCTCCACTAGTGCGAGCCAATGGGCAGTGCTGGGACGGGATTAGGACTGCTGAGTGAGCAGTAGGAGCCAATGAAAGCGTAAGCAGGGATGAGCTCGGCGCTAGAACCCGCCCGCCAGTCAGAATAGACCAATGGAAGCATAGCCGGTTGGTGAGGTTCATTAGACCCCCTCCCTCCCCGCTTAGACCGAGCGTCCCCTGACAGGAGGAGGCGGAGCTTCGTGCGGGGGACGGAACGCTTGCCCCTGGTCCGGAGCAATATTGTCCAATGGTACTGTGGTGCGAGCCTGGGGGCGGGGCCAGAAAGCTGCCTCGGAACTGAGCCAGCCATTGAGGGTGGAGGGCGGGGTATTGTTTTGAAGCCGCCCTTCAATCTAACGTTAACCAATGAGGATGGGAGTGGGTCGCAGACGGAGCACGTGGGCTTAGTCCAGAGTTGCTGCCCTCCCGGCAGCGGTAACAGCCTTCCCAGGTCAGATTAGAAGTTCCTGCTCGGCTTTAACCGCTGACCAAGGACCTAGCTTGGCGTTGCCCGACCACTCTGCTTCCCCAGCTGTCTCCTGAGAGCCGCAGGGCTGTGGGGAGGTTGGTCTCCTGTGGGCTGCCCCGAGCTGAGCGCGCCCCGCCCTCCGCCCCGCCCCTCCGCGCCGCCCC